AAAAAAAAAAAAAAAAAAAAGAAGAAGAAAGATTATTTGGCTGGTGATTCTTATGGTTGGAAAATCCGGGACTGCAACATTCACCTCCCAGGTTCAAGCAATTCTCCTGCCTCCATCTCCGGAGTAGCTGGGATTGTAGGCACCCGCCACCATGCCTGGCTAATTTTTTTATTTTTAGTAGAGATGGGGTTTCACCATGTTGGCCATGCTGGTCTCAAACGCCTGACCTCAGGTGATCCACCTTCCTCGGCCTCCCAAAGTGCTGGGATTACAGACATGAGCCACTGCGACTGGCCATCTTTTTAACAACCAGCTCTGGGGGTCACTAGCAGTGCAGGAACTCACTCCTGAGGGAAGGCATTCATCCATTCCTGAGGAATCTGCCCCTATGACCCAAACACCTCCCATTAAGCCCCGCCGCCAACATTGGGACTCATATTTCAAGATGAGGTTTCGGGGGACAAACGTCCAGACGATAGCAATGCCTGGGGGAGCTTCCTCACTCTGTCCTCTGTCTGCCTTTCAGCTGTGAGAGGAACTGCAGGCCAGTTAATGCCAGTGAAGACATTCTGCTCAGGGTCACCATGGGAGAGGACTCCCCAGTGGCTGTGTTCAGCTGGTATTTAGACAACACCCCAGCAGAGAAGGTGAGCACTGCAACAACCACTCAAGAATGGAGGCCGGGCACGATGGCTCACGCCTATAATCCCAGCACTTTGGGAAGCTGAGGCGGGTGGATCACGAGGTCAGGAGTTCAAGGCCAGCCTGGCTAAGATGGCGAAACCTCGTCTCTACTAAAATACAAAAACTAGTCGGGCATGGTGGCAGGCGCCTGTAATCCCAGGTGGGAGGCTGAGGCGGAGAATTGCTTGAACCTGGGAGGTGGAGGTTGCAGTGAGCCGAGCGCGCCCCACTGGACTCCAGCCTGGGTGAAGATGCGAGATTCCGTCTCAAAAAAAAAAAAAAAAAAAGAATGGGAATCTCCCTTGCACTTTCAGCACACCCATGTCGCATGCCCAGTATGGGGCGAGGATTGGATCCACTCCACTCCACGCAGAGCCTGTGGTGTGGGAATCGGGGTATTGGGCTGGGGAGAAAATCTGGGAACTGATAGCAGGGCGAACGGACACAAGGGAGCGAGAGCTCTGGAGAAACCGTGCGGCAGGTGCTGTTGGCATCCCAGCCAAGTCCCGCTTCCCAGGTGGACAGTCCCAACTCCAGCTTTCATGGACTGGCCATTGGCCAACAACTGATGGGTGGAGGGTCTAACAGCCCAGCCTCCCTGTCCCCAAGTAGGTGATTTCAGTGAGGCAACTTACACTGCAGAGCTCCCAGGCAACCAGGCTGAGACTGGCTGCCTCCCGTAACCGTTTTTTGCCTCATTTTGTTCTTGGCTGTTTCTCTCTCTCCACTGCTTCTTCTCTTTCTCCACTGCTTTTCCCTGTGAGCCCTCCTTCAGTAAATAACCCACATACAAGGCCAGGTGCAGTGGCTCACGCCTGGAACCCCGACACTTTGGGAGGCCGAGGCAGGCAGATCACATGAGGTCAGGGGTTCGAGAACAGCCGGGCCAACATGGTGAAACCCTGTCTCTATTAAAAATACAAAAACATTAGTGGGGCACGGTGGTGGTTACCTGTAATCCCAGCTACTCGGGAGGCTGAGGCACGAGAATTGCTTGAACCCGGGAGACGGAGATTGCAATGAGCCAAGATAATGCCACTGCACTCTAGGCTGGGCAGCAGAGTGAGACTCCATCTCAAAAATATTTTCTTTTCTTTTTTTTTTTTTTAAGACAGAGCCTCGGTCTGTTGCCAGGTTGGAGTCCAGTGGTGCGATCTCAGTTCACTGTAACCACTGCCTCCTGGGTTCAAGCGACTCTCCTAACTCAGCCTCCCTAATCACTGGGATTACAGGCACATACCACCATAACCGGCTTATTTTTTGTATTTTTAGTAGAGATGGAGTGCCACAATGTTGGCCAGGCTGGTCTCAAACTCCTGACCTCAGGTGATCTGCCTACCTCGGCCTCCCAAAGTGCTGGGATTTACAAGCCACTGTGCCTGGCTCAAAAATAAATAACCTACACACAAATCCTCATCTCAGGCTCTGCTTCTGGGGAACCCAACCTAAGACAAACACCCCAATGAGGCTGGAAAGTCTATCTTCCAGGTGACTCCTCAGGGAGCTGGGGCTGCCTGTCCTCCGTTCATCAGCAATAAATCTGAAAGGCTGCCTAGCACTCAGAAGCTATTATCCTGCTGCAGTCCAGTGGCCTGGCTATGGCATCAGGAGCCCTGGGCGATGCTCTTTTTCAGGCTGAGACCCTCCCGGATGCCTGCAGACTCAGAGGATTTTGGCCAAGTTCCTTAACCCTCCTCCAGAGCAACACCTCCACACTGCGGCTGAACAGCTCCTTTCTGCAGACCCAGGGAGAGGTCATCCGAATCAGAGCCACAGGTGCGAAGCCTCCCTTTCATCTCCTCTCAGGGAACCCAGACACACCCAGAAACACTCAGATATTGGGCATCCGTTTATTTCTCTTTTTTTCTTTTAAATATTGAAATAGAGAGATGGGGCCTCACTATATTGCCCAGGCTGGTCTTGAACTCTGGGACCCAAGCCATCTTCCTGCCTCAGCCTCGTAAAGTGCTGGGATTGCAGGTGCGTGTCACCACGCCCAGCCAGGGCAGCTGCTCAGTGCAGAGGCCACGGCGCAGGCTCTGGTGTGAATTGCACCACTGCCAGTTTCTACCAGGGAGACGTTAGGCAGAGGATTTCGCCTCTCTGTGCCTCAGTTTCCTCACATGCAAACTGGAATAATCAAAATGCCTGCCTCAGAATGGTTATTTTGCAGGATGAATGAGATCACCCCAGTGTCACAAGCAGGTCATTCTGGGGTTGTGCAACCTGCATGCTCAGCCAGGATTCTTCAGGGCTTCTCATTTAAAAGAAGCCCAGTGTGGGAAACACAGCTTCTCAAACAAACAAACAATGGAGGTGATGATTCTTTTTAGAAAGGATGACTTTGCTTCCATCTTTCCCAAAGTGGCCCACAGACCATGCACATCAGAATAAACTAGAGTGTTAGTTAAAAATGCACACTCTCGAGTCCGCCCCAAACTTTCTGAATTAGGTCTAGGCCAAAGAATGAGTTTTTATGGGTTAAAATTCTCTTCATGCCCAGCTCTTCCAGGCATGCGCTCTCTGAAAACCTAGGGGGCTACTCCAGGTGATGTGGGATGTGACTGCAGGTCCACTGGTGTCTCTTTACAGTGATCTGGGAAGAGTGTGGGCTTTGGAGTAGCCTCAGACTGTTTCCAGATCCTGGCTCTGGTCCGTCCTGGCTCCATGATCTTGAGCATGTAAACTCCCATCTCACAAGATCTCCATAGGGAAGCTGTTATCATCAGCCCCATTCCACAGATGAGGAGCTGACTCTTGAAAAGGTCAAATTCTCAGCATGGGTGCAGTGGCTCATGCCTGTAATCCCAGCACTTCGGGAGGCTGAGGTGGGAGGATCCCTTGAGGCCAGAAGTTTAAGACCAGCGCTGGCAACAGAGCAAGACCCTGTCTCTACAAAAATTAGAAAATTAAAGGCGGGGTGCAGTGGCTCACGCCTATAATCCCAGCACTTTGGGAGGTCAAGGCAGACAGATCACAAGCTCAGGAGTTCAAGGCCAGCCTGACAAACATAGTGAAACCCTGTCTCTACTAAAAATACAAAAATTAGCTGGGCATGGTGGCACCCACCTGTAGTCCCAGCTACTCAGGAGGCTGAGGCAGAATGGCTTGAACCTGGGAGGCGGAGGTTGCAGTGAGCCAAGATCACGCCACTGCACTGCAGCCTGGGTGACAGAGCGGGACTCCCTCTCAAAGAAGAAAATTAGCCAGCCATGATGGTACACTCCTGTGTTCCCACTTATTCAAGAGGCCAAGGCAGTAGAATCACTTAAGCCTACGAGTTCAAGGCTACAGTAAGCTATGTTTGCAGAACTGGACTCCAGTCTAGGTGACAGAGCAAGACCCTATCTCTAAAAACAAAAAAAAGATAAGAAAAAAAACTGGAAAAGAAAAGGTCAAGTCCAAGGTCACTTGGTTAGCAAATGTCAGAACTAAAATTCGAGCTCAGGTCTGTCTAATTTTCTTCCCCTATCTTGCCCAGTTTCTCAAAGTGAGGCCCTGGGATCCCTTGCATCAGAGAGAGTTGTTTGGGGTTTGGTTGTTTAGTTGTTAGATATGTAAATTTCCTGGCTCTCCCTGGAATCTCCAGAGACATCTGAGGCTTTGGGTTTGAAGTACGGCCCAGGAATCTTGGTGTTTAACGAGCTCCTGGGGCAATTTAACATCGGGATGGAGTTTGTGGGCCCCTATGGCCCCCTAAGCATGATCTGCCTTCACTCCCAGCATTGACCAGCCATGCCTATGGGGAGGACACCTATGTGATCAGCACTCTGCCTCCCCCCGAGGTGCCTGCCTGCACAATTGCCCCAGAGGAGGGTACCGTTCTGACAAGCTTTGCCATCTCCTGCAACACCTCCGCTGCCCTGGGACCCTTGGAGTTCTGCTTCTGTCTGGAATCAGGTACTGGCTGAGGACTCTGCTCTTCCCTCAGCTCCTGGGCTCATCTTCTTGCAGAACAGGGGCCTGTTCCCTCTGGGAGCTGCAAAGAATGTATTCTGTGCGTGAGAGATGTTGGCAGGATGAGGGCTCCCCCAAATCTCAACCCCTAGCCCCAAGACACTGACCCAGCCATCAATCCACAGAGACATGAGAAGTTGGACTCATCAGTAGCTCTTCCACAACAGAAAGCCAAAATCCATTGTCCTAGCACGGGAGACAGTGATGGAGTGAAATGAATAAGGATACCCAAAAGTATGACCATGTGGGGCTGTCACGAAGACACCATCCTCCCCCTCACCCCCTCCCCTACACACTCGGAGTAGTCGGGACTTCCGGAAGCCTAGAGCTATTCAGGAAGACAGAGATGAGTCTGGTTAACAGAATCTGGTTAACAATTTCATTGAGGCTGCTTTGCAGGTGGCCCCAGGGAATGGGTGATATTGCAGGACGAACTGAGCTGAAAGAATGTTTTTGCAGAGGTGTACAGGTGACAAACATGGAAGGCCCCAACCACAATGTGGAAAACCCCGCACAGTCTCCCTGCTGTCACCCTAACCACCCACACCCTGGGACAGCCAAAGGCATTAATTAGCAGGAGAGATGGGGGAAATAAATCCACTTATGTTGCATTTATTCTTCCATTTGGGGAGTGATTGGTCCTTGGAGAGCTCATCTGAGTTATCTCCTCCCAGTGGGCTTTGGTTTTTTTTTGTTGTTGTTTTTTGTTTTTGAGATAGTCTAGCTCCGTCACCCAAGCTGGAGTGCAGTGGTGTGATATTGCTCACTGCAACCTCTGCCTCCCAGGTTCAAGTGATTCTTCTCCCTCTGCCTCCTGAGTAGCTGGTATTAGAGACGCCCACCACCTCACCAGGCTAATTTTTGTATTTTTAGTGGAGATGAGGTTTCACCACGTTGGCCAAGCTAGTCTCAAACTCCTGACCTCACGTGATCCACCTACTTTGGCCCCCCAAAGTGCTGGGATTCTAGGCGTGAGCCACTGCACCCGGCAGGGCTTTGGCATTTTGTTGATCTGAAAATGCTCTAGTCAGACTGTAATTTTCCTCCAAAGTCAGGCACCAGGAGTGTTGCCAGGATGCTCCCCCAAACCCAGCATAAACATCACAGTGACATAAACACTGCACCTTGAATGGGGAAAAGTGCACATCAGCTATTATAAGACCCAAGGGAGTGTAGTTTTCACAGGTGCCCTAATAGATATGGAAACACCCAGCTCTTAAGAGGATTGTGAATGGGGCTGAGCCTGGAAGGAGACTCTGTGCTGGAAGGAGAAAGATCAAGCAAGGTAAGCGGATTTTATTTCAAACGCGCATGCCCCCAGAGGGAAAGGCCAGAACAGCTGCTCTAATTCCAATAGGCTGTTTTGCTTTAGTGCCTCTCCCACCTCATCCAAGTGAGCAGGGAGGCAGGAAAGTGTGGCTCTAGAAAAATGAGTTCCAGGCTGGGCGCGGTGGCTCATGCCTGTAATTCCAGCACTTTGGGAGGCCAAGGTGGGTGGATCACCTGAGGTCAGAAGTTCGAGACCCAATTTTTACATGTTTTGTAGAAACAAGGTCTTCCTAAGTTGTTCAGGCTGGCCTTGAACTCCTGGCCCCTGAGCTAATTTTTAAGTTGTCGTTGTTGCTCCTCCTCCCCCTCCTTCTTCTTTTTCTTCCTCGGGCGGATCACAAGGTCAGGAGATCAAGACCATCCTGGCCAACATGGTGAAACCCCACCTCTACTGAAAATATAGCAATTAGCCGAGTGTGGTGGCATGCACCTGTAGTCCCAGCTACTTGGGAGGCTAAGGCAGGGGAATTGCTTGAACCCAGGAGGCGGAGGTTGCAGGGAGCCAAGATGGTGCCACTGCACTCCAGCCTGGCAACACAGCAAGACTCCGTCTCAATAAATAAATAAAATTAAAAATTTTTAAAAACCTGTAAATGGGTTATTTTTCCTGCAATTTTTTATGGATTTTAGTAAAATTATTCCAAAGTTACAGCAACCTGCAGATGCCTAGAGAAGACAGTGAATCAGCATACGTGGCTGTCTACTCCATAAAAGCATGGAATCCCAAGAGCCTACCAGGCCTTCGAGAGCTGTGGCTTTTGTGTCCCTGTGACCAGGCTCTACCTGAGTGAGTTGCAGGTAGAGATGCCCCCTTATCAGTCAATTTCTGGTTTTGCCAGGTTCCTGCTTACATTGTGGCCCTGAACCTGTCCTGCCATCAGTGTATCTGCCGCTTGGAAAGGAGAACAATGACTCTGTGCTGACGGTAGTTATTTCTGCCACCAATCGTGCAGGGGACACAAAGCAGACCCAGGCCGTGGTTAAGGTGGGTGATGGCAGTGGCCTCTGTCTCTTTACAAAGAAAAATTCTCCACTCATATGAACCTCACCAAAAGGGTGACTGGATGAAAGATATTCTGGGGCATTGCCAGATGAATCAATGATTCATCCATTCCTTCCACAAATATTTACAGGGCATTTACTATGTGCCACATCCTGGGGGTATAGTGAGGGACACAACAGACATCGTCTCTACCTTTGTAAATCTTATGACTTCATGGCCAGAATAGGGGGAGGGTCTTGGGAGCTGGTGGGTGCAGGGGAGGGGGTTGGAGAATGACTCTTGCATGAGTTTGGCCAGTACCTGTAGAGAGCTCGGAGGAAGTACGGCCAAGATTGGCCAACAAAGACACAACGAAGGGCCTGGATAAGATCCCAAGAAGAGGCCGGGCACAGTGACTCACGCCACTATGTCCAGGAGTTCGAGACCAGCCTGACCAACATGGAGAAACCCCGTCTCTACTAAAAATACAAAATTAGCTGGGCGTGGTGGTGCATGCCTGTAATCCAGGCTACTTGGGAGGCTGAGGCAAGAGAATCGCTTGATCCCAGAGGCAAGGTTCGCAGTAAGCTTAGATTGCCACATTGCCCTCCAGCCTGGGCAACAAGAGCGAAACTCTATCTCAAAAATTGATACATCTCTAATACTGAGCAAAAGAAGACAACAAAAGATTATATTAAGTCTGGCCCCACTTATGTAAAGTTAATGTTATCAAAAAAAAAAAAAAAAGAAAGAAAATCCCAAGATTATAAGGGTCAGAAGCCAGATGGAGGTGGAAGAGGTTGAGAACAAGAGGAGGAGGGCAGCCAGTGGCAGAGCAGTGACTTACCCAAGGCTGGAGCCGACCAAGGCTTGGTTTGGGTGGCCGTCAGCTGCCTGATGTGAGCAGGTCTGGCTGCCTTTCAGCCTCAGAAAGTGCTTGAGAGCCCCCAGGCCAGGCCAAAGTCATCCAGTCCTGCTCTGACCCTACATGAAGAACCCTGACTTCAGATGCCAGGTTGATCCTAGCAGGTTCTGAGCACATTTCTGATTTCCCAACAGGTGGCACTCGGAGACACATGTGTTAAGGATGTAGCATTCCAGGCTGCCGTGTCAGAGAAGATCCCCACAGCTCTGCAAGGCGAGGGTGGCCCTGAGCAGCTCCTCCAGCTGGCCAAGGCCTTGACCTCTGTGCTGAACCAAGAGCAGGAAAGCCAGGGCTCAGGACAGTCGCTGAGCACAGATGCCAGACGGAAGGTGCCTGCGGTGGGGGCTCCTTTCATTTCCTTCCTCTGGGGCCCCAGGGTCTGCATGCGGCCATCTGGGCTGTGGATCGGGGTTCATGGATCAGGGGAAAAACATGGTGTCTCCCAAGGGGCTGACACCACCTGCCTCTCTGGTCTTTCTGGTGAGTGGCTTAAAGTGAAGAAAACGCCTTCTTCCTTGGTAACCTGCTTTCTTGGCTGGCCCTCATGGAGGCACAGGCCTCTGCGACAGGGGAGTTTAGAGCCCTTCACTCCCTCCCCCTCACATTGCAGATGACGAGGCAGAGGTGCAGAGGAGAAAGGAGACTGCCCTGAGTCACATGGGTAGCAGTCTGGAGTTGGACCACAGATGGTGTCCCAGCTTTTGTCACTTACCACCATTTACACTGTCACAGGTCAGGGACCAATCCTCTCTAAGCCTCAGCTTCCCCATGTGGAAAAGAGGAACAGGAATACTGTTTTCCTCACACTACTGTGGTAAGAGTTAAATAAGAATTACAATCACTGCAACTAAAAAACTAGATAAGATTGCCAACATTCTACCAGTATTAATCTACAAAAATGGCCAATGTGTTACAACCTCATATTATAAACAATTGCAAAACGTACAATTGCATCCACTCCCAGTGTCTGCCACATGAGTTATGTGTGCGCGTTTCTGAATTTCATGCCATTCTGGTCACAGGTGCTACCCTCAGACACGATTTATTTTCAAAAAGTGCCAAATTCTATAGATTCAACTTGAAGATTTGGAGAAAGTTAGAGACATCCTATAAACGTTTGGTAGGACTGTTGTTACAAATGACCACAAAGACAGTGGCTTAACACAGCACACATTTATTCGCTTTATAGTTCTGGAGGCTGGAAGTTTAAAATGGGGTTCAATGGACAAAACCAAGGTGCCAGCAGAGGGGCAAACCTGGAGGCTCCAGGGCAGAAGTTATTCCTTGCCTTTCCCGGGTTCTCGAGGCGCCTGCGCTCCTTGACTCCTTTCCTCAAAGCCAGCCACACAGTACCTCCAAAGCCCCCTCCTCTCCCTCTCTCTCTTCTCCCTCTCTCTCCACCCTTCCCTCATCCTCTTTCCCTTTTTTCTCTTACCCTCCCCGCCTGCCTCCATCACCCATCTCCTTTTCTGACTAATGCCCCTGGCTCCGCTGTAGAAGGATCATGTGATGACATTGGTCCCACCTGTTCGTCTGGGATCATCTCTCAGTCTCAGAATCCTTAATCTGATTGCATCTCCAAAATAACTTAGCCAAAGTGCCTTTTGCCACATGTGCTAACATATTGACAGGTTTCAGGGATGTGACTGTGGGCATCTTCAGGGGGCTGTTATCTGCCTATCACACATCCTATGAGGCAAACAGAGGTCTGCAGGGCTTTAGAAACCCCCAATGAGTCCAGGTGCAGTGGCTCACGCCTGTAATCCCAGCACTCTGGGAGGCTGAGGCAGGTAAATCACTTGAGGTCAGAAGTTTAAGACCAGCCTGGTCAACATGGTGAAACCCTGTCTCTACTAAAAATACAAAAAATAGCCAGGTGTGGTGGTGCACACCTGTAATCCCAGCTACTCAGGAGGCTGAAGCCTGAAAATCTCTTGAATCCAGGAGGCAGAGGTTGCAGTGAGCTGAGATCGTGCCACTGCACCCTAACCTGGGTGACAGGGCGAGAATCCATCTCGGAGAAAAAAAAAGAAAAAAGAAAAAGAACCCCTCAACGAGCCTGTTCACTCCTGACCCTGCGCCTGCATCTTCCCGACACTACTTCATGGAGCCATGAAATTACATTTCTTCTCCTGCCTTCTCCCCACTCCCAAGGTCAGAGAGCATGTGCTGGGGTCGCTGTCTGCAGTCACCGCCAGCCTGGAAGACTTGAGGAGGGTGCAGGAGCTGGCCAAGGTGCTGAGAGAGGTGACCCGCCGGAGCGAGGAACTCACACCCTCGGCCCAGGTGAGTAGCTCCCATCCACTAAGGCTGCCATGGGATACGCTCCTCCATGGCAGGTGGATGACAACCCAGATCAGCATAGGTTGAAGGGGTCCCTTGGTCACAGGGCTCCCCTGGGGCTGCCATCTTCTTTCTAGGGATACTGCATGGGTGATTCATGGGAAGGTGCCCCTCCTGCAGCCTCTGTACCTCACACTGGGTGAGAGGGCCTGTTTGCCCGGACTCTCACTCATCCATCTGCTGGTGAGCAACTTGATGGAGTAACTGAATCTCATTAATATTTGGGTGGCCAAGTGTGTGTCCAGATACTGCTACTGACTGCTCATGCTCCCAACTTCTGTGTTATGCCAGCCTGACATCCGGCTGCCAGCTCCTGCCCTTCTTATCCTTCTGGGGGTCTTCTCTGACCCCCAGAGCCTACTCTACCTGCCCCTTTGGCTGGGAACTCATGCAGTGAATTCAGTGACTAATGTGGCTGGTGTATAAATACCCCAGCTCCCTCACCCCTCTTGATGGATAATCCCAAGCAGGATTGAATCCCAGGTAATGGGTTTGATCACTCTTCTATACTGGCTTCCACCCTTCCCTGTCACACCCCCCACTCCCCACAACTGTTTCTTAAGATCATCTTCAAATAAATGACTTGCTGTCAAATCCTTGCTCCACAATCTGCTTCTTGGAGAACTCAAAATTAAAACACCATGTTCCCAGGGTTCTGACAGCCAAGGGTTAAAAAAGAAACCATAAGCCAGGCAAGGTGGCTGATGCCTGTAATCCCAGCACTTTGGGAGGCAGAGGCAGGAGGACCGCTTGAGGCCAGGAGTTTGAGACCAGCCTGGGCAACACAGTGAGACCGTATCCCTTCAAAAACAAAACAAAGGTGGGGCACAGTGGCTCACACCTGTAATCCCAGCACTTTGCGAGAGTGAGGCAGGGTGGATTGTCTGGGGTAAGGAGTTTGAGGCCAGCCTGGCCAACATGGTGAACCCCCATCTCTACTCAAAATGCAAAGATTAGCCAGGCATGGTGGCATCTACCTGTAGTCCCAGCTACTCGGGAGGCTGAGGTGGAGGTTGCAGCAAGCTGAGATCGTGCCACTGCACTCCACTATGGGTGATAGAGCGAGACTCCAGCTCAAGAACAAACAAACAAAAAACAGCAAAACAAAATAGCCTGGACATCATGGTGCATACCTGTAATCCTAGCTACTTGGGAGGCTGAGGTGGGAGGATCACTTGAGCCCAGAAGGTCAAGGCTGCAGCGAGCTGTGGTTGTGCCAATGCACTGCAGCATGGGTGACAGAGCAAGAGCCTATGAAAAAATAACAATAAAAAGAAGCCCTAAAAACAGGAAAAGTGGCCAGCACAGTGGCTCATGCCTGAAATCTCAGCACTTTGGGAGCCTGAAGCAGTAGGATAACTTGATCCCTAGAGTTTAAGTTCAGTCTGTGCAACACAGAGAAACCACGTTTACAAAAAAAAAAAAAAAAAAAAAAAAAAAAAAAAAAAAAAAAAAAAAAAAAAAAAAAAAAAAAAAAAAAAAAAAAAAACAAAACAAACAAACAAACAAAAAACACCACACACACACAAACAAACAAACAAACAAAACAAGCCTAATATCGTGGCTCATACCTGTAGTCACAACTACATAGGAGGCTGAGGCATAATGATCACCTGAGCCCAGGAGTTCGAGGTTACAGCAAGCCATGCTTGCGCTATTGTAGCCTAGCCTGGGCAACAGAGCAAGACTGTCTCAAAAACCAACCAACAAAGAAAAATGAAACAGAAGAGGAGAGAACTATCCTGGCTTTGCCCCACCCACTCTGGTAGGAGGTTGTGCCCCTAAAATCGTCCAGCCTGAAGCCAGCAAGGCTGGCCTTTATTCTGGGGCTCATTATTGATGTAACACTTCCCATTTACACACCCATTTGCTAATCCATCTATTTATATGCAGATACACTGTACATACGTGAACCTGTACACATCCTCCCCTCTATCCTTCTATGCATTCACGCACGCATTAATTTCATCATCCATTTAACAAGTGCTTCCTGAATGTCAAGTATGTGCCAGGTAGTGTGCAATTCATTGAGAATTCAGCAGCAAATTATATAGACATGGCATGTGCCATTATGACCCTTTCAGACTACTGAGACAGCCAGACGTCAGACAAATAATTTCACAAATACTTATAAAACTACCAAATTTGAACACGTACTATGTCCCTCCACCCACCCACACAACCATCCACCTATTCATTCATCTACCATCCACCCATCTATCAACCATCATTCATCCATCCTCCATCCACTTATCTTCCACCCATTCATCCATTCACCTATCATCCATCCATCTACCCACTTATCCATCCCTCATTCTCCATCCACCCACCCACCATTCATCCACCCACCCAGCCATCCATCCATCTTCCACCCACCCATCCATCCATCCATCCATTCTCCACTTGTTTTTCCACCCATCCACCTATCATCCATAGATCCATTTATCTAACCACCTATCCATCCTTCATCCATCCATCCATCCATCCATCCATCCCTCCCCTTGTTATTGAATGTTCCTGAAGACCTATGTGCTGGGCACTGTGCAGGGCACTCTGGGAAGCATTCAGAGGCAGACTAGGGTACTCTCCTGAAGGATCTCAGAGGACTGTAAGGTAGGAGGACCTGATCTCAAGTCAGAGATACAGGGAGCTGGCGTGCCAGGTCTGGCCCAGCTCTTTCCTGGCTTGTTCCCCTCTCCTTGCTTCCCTAGTCCTTCGAATGACACAGGAACCGGTCTCGCTTAAGCAGGGGCTCACACTGCTTTTTCTTATTTCGGTGAACCCAGTGGGAGGCCAGCTGGGCTCTGCAACGTGCCAGTGAGGCCCTGTTGACAGCAAGTGCCAAGGCCCGCCCTGAGGACCATCGGCACCAGGCAGCTACCAGGGACCTGTTTCAGGCTGTGGGCAGTGTACTGGAAGCTTCCCTGACCAACAGACCAGAAGAGCCTGCAGAGGCCAGCAGCAGCCAGGTGGGTGTCCAGGCCAGATACAGACCTCACGCACACTCAGTGCCCAGCTCACGCCAGCTTTTCTAGGTGGAGCTTTTCCCCTGATCTTACAGATGAGGAAACTGAGGCACAAGGTTAAGGTGTTGCCCTGGGAGCTAGAAGAAAATTTCCATAGAACAGGGCTTCTGGGAGGCAGCGTGGTGTGGTGGGCAGACCACAGGCTCTGAAAGGAGGCAGCTGAGTTTGAATTCTGCCTCAGTCACTTAGGAGGCTTGTGCCTTGGGCAAGTTACAGAGTTTCCTGAAGCCTCATTTCCTGATGGGTAAATCAAGGCACTCTGCCTCATCCCATGTAAGCCGCCAGCTGGAGAGATCATATGGACCCCACAGCAGGTCTGGGTAAACTTGGGGCTCATTTTACCCAGAACACAGAAGAGAGGCAGCTGCCCAGAGTAAAAACAGGTGTAGCACTGTCTCATGTGGCTCCAGCATCCTGGTAGGGATATGACCTCTTGGATGGCATCATGACAGAGCCACAAAACCCATTTCTTCCTGTTGTACAGTTCTTTATCACATGGGGCCATCGCCTGTATTCAGGAAGAAATGAAAGACACGCAACACACAAAGATGCTTGGATGCACACACGCACATGCTCAGACACACTCCAACACTTATGCACTCAATCTCACAAACACACTCGTACACAAAAACACATGGTCATGCTCACACATACTGAGAGACCCTCATACTCTCACACGGCCTCAAGCACACACTTTTGCACACAGATGCGCATTTACACATCCACATCTTCACACAGGGCCATGCACTCACACGTATTCATGCACATACTTGCAGACTCTCATATATGGTTGCACATTCCATAATCTTGCAATCATCTGTGCACACTCACCCACACTTAAACACTTGTATGCACACACACTCAGGACCACACCCACATTCACTCATACATACACACGCTCAAACACTGACATTCACAGGCAGTGACATCACCCTCACATGCGTGTTCATGTGTGTGCGTGCGCACACACATGCACACACACACACACACACACAATCTGTGCCCCAATCGGAATTCTGTGCAAACACCCAGCCCTTCCTGAGTCCCCGCACCAGCTGTGGCATCAGGATGCATCTCATCTAGGGGTTGGGATGGCTGGGGAGCAGAGTCAAAGCCCAGGTGACCCAGTGAAATGGCCTCGCTCTCGGCTGTCCATTTCCCCTGGAACAAGCTGTAGACTCCTCGCGGATTTCAGGAGCTCAGAGAGCCACATTCCCTGACGGTTGAGCACATAGGCTCTGGAGCCACATGCTTTGCCTTGAGTCCTGGCTCTTCCCCTTATCAGCCTGTGACCTCCCACAGTCTCCTACCCTGTCTCTGCCTCCACTGCCATCTGTCCAACGGGGCCAGTAAAGCTCCCATCACACCAAGTTACCGTGAGGATGGAATGGGCTCGCAGACACCAGTCTGGAAGCTTTATGAGTGCTGCTCTTAGGGCCACCTCCAAGGCAGTCTTTCTCCCTCCTCTCTGTCCTCTCTTGAACCTGCTGAAGGTCCCACACTGGCCTGGGGACAGTGACCAAAGGTGGTGTATGGCGGAAAAAGTGGTGTATGGCAGCAGGCCCAGAGCAACATTCTCCTAACATTCTTCTGCCTCCTTTTCTAGACTGCCACAGTGCCGCGGCTGCTTGGCGTCGTGGAGCGTGTGCAGACCTCCCTCCTGCTGGGAAAACTGCCGGGGGGCCTTCCAGCCGTGCTGGCCACCCCCTCCATCTCTGTATACACAAATAGGTACAAACCGGCTGCACCATCAGTCCACAAGAAAGCTCATCCCCTAACCTGGCTCATTCCACACCTGCACTCCAAGACCTTGCGCTGGGCAGAGCTCAGCAGACCAGCCCTGGGGATGGAGAAGTGATGGGACCTAGAGCTGGGAAGGGCTTTCCACCGAGAGAAGGTCCCCCTGCCACCGTGTTGAGTGTTTGCACAGCACAGGAAGGGAGGCATGGAGTGTCAAGCCCAGTGTTGGAACCACCTGAGGGAGTCCTGAGAGATGGTCACATGGCAGCCATGCAGGCAAGGGGGCTGAATGAATAGGACCAGCCTGCTGTCAACCACGCCCTGCGTGTTTCTGGCCAGCCACTGCTCCTTGGGCTTGCAGGGACTCAAGATCCACTAACCTTGGGACCATGCATGCGTGCGCGTGCGCGCGCACACACACACACACACACACACACACACACACACACACACACACAGAGGGCTCATCTCTCAGTGAGCACCGACCCCGTACCTGGGATGCTCCACACCTTCCATTCCACCACCTGACAAGCAGGATCTGGATAGTGCCGCTGGCAACACTGGGACCCCTGCCCCAGGCCTCAGTTCCTCCTGCCAGAGTTGCCCTCTAGATCCCAGAGGCAGTTTCCCAAAGCAGTATCCCGATTAGAGGAATGATCTGAAATGGGGTCCCTAACACCATCAGATGGGACAAAGTCAAAGACCCAAAAAGATGGGGCTGGGTCAATAGCATCAAAGTCAAGGCAGGAAGGGGAGATCACCTGAGAAAAACATGCATCCTAGCTTATTTATTCATCCCATGAAAATATTTATGGACCACCTGTTATATTCCAGGCACTGTTGTAGACATTGGGGGTACAGCGGTAAAGAAAGCTAGTAAAGCCCGACCCTCACAGAGCCTCCAGCCTAGCTGCCTCTTGCGCTGCTTCTGCTGAAACAAACATGCTTGAACCACTTACAGGGATCAAAACACACCCTCCCCCGCCACCCACTCTGACGGAGAAGCTGGGCTTCCGGTAGTGCAGGAGGCTCCCAAAGTCATCCTCCTCAAACACTGACTTTCTCCTCCCTCCCCTGCCACCTCTGCTCTCACCTTGTGGCCAGAATACAACCCTGGAGTTGGCACGGCTTCTCCCTGCACACTGCTGCCGCAGACTCTGCAACCTTCACTCTTCCTGCTGCCTCCCTGCTCGGCTCTCTGGAGGACCGCCAGGAACCTGTGGACATAAAGGTAACAATAGCAGTAGCGTCCTTGGGGACAGCCTTTACCATCTGCAGAGCACTTCCACATGCATTTGCTGATGTGTGTTTAGTATGATAATGCCCACTATACAGGTGAGGTTCAGAGACTTTCCCAAAGCCACAAGTAAAGTGGCTCTGCTGGGCTTCACACCCAGACCTCGGAGCTCCCAGGTATTCATCCTCTTTCCACTGTGTTGCAGAATTTCTCCAAAAGCCTTGATTCAGGAAGTCATTTGAAACAAAGCTCTTCCAGCTTAGTGTCCTAACTTGGAAACAGCCAACCCAGGCTCTTTTCCATTCCCAAATTAAAGCACATCAACTGTGTCCTCCCTGAGTCCTAATGAAACCAGACTAACATCTTTCTCTTAAACATTTACTGGCTTTTGGGGAAGAAAGATGTGGACAAGGAGTTCAAAACAGGCAGATCACCTGAGGGCAGGAGTTCGAGACCAGCCTGACCAACATGGTGAAACTCCCTCTCTACTAAAAAATACAAAATTAGCTGGGCGTGGTGGTGTATACCTGTAATCCCAGCTATTCGGGAGACTGAGGCAGGAGAATCACTTGAACCCAGAAAGTAGAGGTTGTAGTGAGCCGAGATGGTGCCATTAAATTCCAGCCTGGGTGACATAACAAAACTCCATGTCAAAAAAAAAAAAAAAAAAAGACTTGGATAGTTTTACATTCCAGTCACTGCTCAGCCAAATCAAGTCTGATTTGGGTTCTCTAGGGCCAGCTCTCTGCGGCCACAGCCCTGAGGCTGGGAACATGTCAGGGGAACCAGCAGCAGCGGAAGGCAGGCCCCACCAGCCCCCGCCCCATGGGCAAGGGCTATTGCTTCTTGGGCCTTAGGACCTTGTCTTTCATCCTCCCGCCCCTCAGGGGACTTGCCCAACACTCCTTGCTCTTTGTTTCAGATGATGAGCTTCCCAAAGAGCCCCTTCCCAGCCCAAAGCCACTTTGATGTCAGCGGGACTGTTGGTGGCCTCCGTGTGACCAGCCCTAGTGGACAGCTCATACCTGTGAAGAATCTGTCAGAGAATATCGAGGTAGAAGTTTGGGGTGTTGTCAAAAGCCAGGCGGGGCCAGGTGTGGTGGCTCAGGCCTGCAATCCCAGCACTTTGGGAGATTGAGGTGGGTGGATCACTTGAGGTCAGCAGTTTGAGACCAGCCTGGCCAACATGGTGAAACCCCGTCTCTACTAAAAATACAAAAATTAGCCAGGCATGGTGGCTCAGGCCTGTAATCCCACCTACTTGCNGACCAGCCTGGCCAACATGGTGAAACCCCGTCTCTACTAAAAATACAAAAATTAGCCAGGCATGGTGGCTCAGGCCTGTAATCCCACCTACTTGCAAGGCTGAGGCAGGAGAATCACTTGAACTGGGAGGCAGAGATTGCAGTGAGCTAAGATTGTACCACTGCACTCCAGCCAGCCTGGGCGACAGAGAGAGATAAAAAAAAAAAAAAGTCAGGGGGGATTTTTTTTTTTTTTTTTTTTTTTTACCACTATACTAATGAGGATTTTGAGACAGGGTCTCACTCTGTCGCCCAGGCCGGAGTACAGTGGTGTGATCTTGGCTCACTGCAACCTCTGCCTCCAGGGCTCAGGTAATCCTCACACCTCAACCTTGCGAGTAGCTGGGACAACAAGAGGCTCAAGCCACCATACCCAGCTATTATTTTAAGTTTGGGTACCAACAAGGTCTCACTATATAGAGCTCGTCTCAAACTCTTGGGCTCAAGTGTTTCTCCCACCTCAGCCTCCCGAAGTGCCAAGATTACAGGTGTGAGCCACTGCACCTGGCCTCATTTCTGTCTTTTAGACAGAGTTTTGCTTTTGTTGCCTAAGTTGAGGTGCAATGGTGCAATCTTGGCTCACTGCAACATCCACCTCCTGGTTTCAAGCAATTCTCCCGCCTCAGCCCCCGAAGTAGCCAGGATTACAGGCACCCGCCACCTCGCCTGGTTAATTTTTTCTATTTTTAGTAGAGACTGGGTTTCACCATGTTGGTCAGGCTGGTCTTCAACTCCTGACCTCAGGTGATCCACCTGCCTCAGCCTCCCAAAGTGCTGGGATTACAGGTGTGAGCCACCACGCCTGGGCTCTGCCTTTTTTCACCTTGGTTGAAATTGAAGGTTGGCCAATTATTTTTTTAAAAAAATGGTTAAACAAGAGAATCATTCAACATGATCCTTACCCACTAGGCCTGGTAGTTCATACCTGTAATCCCAGCGCTTTGAGAGTCATGGCGGGAGGATCACCAGAGTCCAGGAGTTTAAGGCCAGCCTGGACAACAGTGTGAGACCAAATCTGTACAAAAGATACAAAAATTAGTGAGGTGTGGTGGCATGCACCTGTGGTCCCAGGTACTCAGGAGGCTGAGGCAGAAGGATCGCTTACGCCCAGGAGGTCAAGGCTGCAGGGAGCCAAGATTGGTTTAAAAAGTAACAACAGGGCCGGGCGCAGTGGCTCAAGCCTGTAATCCCAGCACTTTGGGAGGCCGAGGCGGGTGGATCATGAGGTCAAGAGATCGAGACCATCCTGGTCAACATGGTGAAACTCCGTCTCTACTAAAACTACAAAAAATTAGCTGGGCATGGTGGCACGTGCCTGTAATCCCAGCTACTCAGGAGGCTGAGGCAGGAGAATTGCCTGAACCCAGGAGGCGGAGGTTGCGGTGAGCCGAGATCGCGCCATTGCACTCCAGCCTGGGTAACAAGAGTGAAACTCCGTCTAAAAAAAAAAAAAAAAAAAAGTAACAACAACAACAACAAAAGGTCCTTACCCTAATCACTGTACTGTACTTAAAATATAAATGCATGTTCATTCAGCAATCCTTAGATATATAACCAGAGTTTTCCTGGTTATATAAATCTATTGTTTGGAATTGTAGTTATCTTCATTACATAAACCATTCCCATTACATAGCCTCTAAGATGTCCAGTTAGGCCAGGGGTGAGGGCTAACATCTGCAGTCCCAGCACCTTGGGAAGCCTAGGCGGGTGAGTCACCTGAGATCGGGAGTTTGAGACCAGCCTGGCCAACAGTCAAACAGCTTGCAGAGCACTTTCACGTGCATTTCCTCATTTGTGTTTAGTAAAACTTTGTCTCTATTAAAAATTTAAAAATTAGCTAGGCATGGTGGCATGCACTCATAGTCTCAGCTACTCAGATGGCTGAGGAAGGAGAATTGCTTGAACGCAGGAGGCAGAGGTTGCAGTGAGCCAAGATCGTGCCACTGCACTCCAGCCTGGGCAACAGAGCCAGACTCCATCTCAAAATAAGTAAATAAATAAAATAAAATGTCCACTTAGATTTTCTTTAAAAAAACACATTGTGGTGCAATAGAAGTTCAGTTTTTCACATTTTTAATGATTTTATTCTAGTCTTCTATAATTTTCTCATGCCTAATTCAATAGCAATTTTTAGTGATGTCTATATTCTCATCCCTGGAGCCTGTGAATATATCACCTTAAATGCAAAAGGGAGGTCAGGTGTGGTAGCTCACACTTGTAATCCGAGCCCTTTGGGAGGCTAAAGTGGGAGGATCACTTGATCTCAGGAGTTCAAAGATATGGCGAGCTGTGGTCATCGCTACTGTACTCCAGCCTGGGCAACAGAGCCAGGCCCTGTCTAAAAACAAAGACAAAACAAAACTACTACAGGGATTTTGCAGATGTGTTTAGTTAAGAATCCTGAGATGGGGAGATTATCCTGGATTATCTGGCGGGCTCAGTGTCATCCCAAGGGTCCTTCTAAAAGGGAGGCAGAAAGAGACGTGACTCTAGAAGACAAAGGTGACTTGATGACAGAAGCTAGAGGCTGGAGTGATGTGAGGAAGGGGCCATGAGCCAAGGAATGCAGGTGGCCACCAGACGCCAAAAAGCCAGGGAAGCAGGTTCTCCCCTAGCCCTGGGAAACAGATTTTGCACTTCTAGACTTGAGAACTATAAGATAAAAGGCTGGGAGTAGTGGCTCACATCTGTAATCCCAGCACTTTGGGAGGCTGAGGTGGGCGGTCAGGAGTTCAAGATTAGCCTGGCCAATATGGTGACACCCCGTCTTTACTAAATATACAAAACTTAGCCAGGCATGGTGGTGCACATCTGTAGTCCCAGCTACTTGGGAGGCTGAGGGAGAAGAATCGCTTGAACCCAGGAGGGACAGGTTGCATTGAGCCGAGATCACACTACTGCACTCCAGCCTGGGTGAGAGACTCCGTCTCTCCCGCGTGCTCGCTCGCTCGCTCTCTCTCTCTCTCTCTCTCACACACACACACACACACACACACACATAGAACTATAATATAACAGCTATGTACTGTCTTAAGCTTTCCACAGTGGTCATTTCTGACAGAAGCCACAGGAAAATATTACAATGAGCAAAGCCCAGTGTGGATTGCAGTTCCCAGGTACTCAGGCCACCCAGCTCTGCCCAGCAGCCCTGAGGCCCACAGGCTGACATTTCCTTCCTGGCACACCTTCAGTAGGATTGTTTCTGATCACAGATCCTGCTGCCCCAGCATCCACAAGGACACAGTAAGCCGACAGTGTTGAGCCTGACCAGTCCTGAAGCACTGCGGGTGAATGTGACTTCAGAGGAGGCAGCCTTGGGGATCCAGCTGCACTGGAGACCAGACATTACACTCACGCTCAGCCTGGGCTATGGCTACCACCCCAACAAGAGCAGCTACGATGCCCAAACTTACCTCATACCGACAGGGGCTCCAGGTAGGCCTGTGGCCATTTCTGAGCCACTGCCTGGGGTATGATCAGCTTCACTGGAGAAGCCATAGAAAGAAGCTGTAGAAAGAAAAGCAAAGAAAAAAATCACCCCACACATTCAGTGGCTTGTTTTTGTTGGTGTTATTAGTTGACAACATTAGGTGAACACTTACTATATGCCCTATACGAGCTTGCAAGCTCTATAGGACTGACCCTATTGCATTCCTCATGACAACCCTTGGCAGGGCTGACTATTGAAATCTCCACTTTCATCCACGTGTGGTGGCTCATGCCTGTAGTCCTAGCACTTTGGGTGGCCAAGCCAGATGGATCACTTCGGGTCAGGAGTTCAATACTAGCCTGGCCAACATGGCAAAACCCTGTGTCTACTAAAAATACAAAAGTTAGCCAAGCATGGTGGTGCACACTTGCAATCCCAGGTACTCTGGGGGCTGAGGCACAAGAATAGCTTGAAGCTGGGAGAGAGAGGTTGCAGTGAGCTGAGATTACACCACAGAACTCTAGTCTAGATGACAAAGTGAAAAAAAAAAAAAAGTCTACATTTCAGATAAGAGCAAAGAGGTTAAGGAAAAGGAACTGGTCTGAGATTGCACAGCCAGTAAGGAGCAGAATTGTGTTTAAGCCTTTGTCTGTCTGACTCAGCTGTGCCCGCTGATTGGGGAGTGCCTTTTCTATGTTCCTGGTCTCAGGAGGAGGGAGCGCTCCTAGGACGTGGGGTCGGGGGTGGGGGGAACCAGCAGGGTCTGCTTCCCTGCCAGGTGGTCTCAGTCACCCTCTCCCATGATCTTAACGCCCATTTGAAGGAGGCTTCAGGCTGACCTGGACCCCTCTTTCCTACAGATGAGCTGCCCACATGGATCCTGAACCCACAGGACCTGCATTTCGGAGAAGGTGTCTACTATTTGACTGTGTTCCCAGAGTCTGACCTGGAGACAGCCACCAGCAGGAACCTTACCATTGGCATCACCACCTTCCTATCTCACTGTGTGTTCTGGGATGAGGTCCAGGAGACTTGGGACAACTCAGGGTGCCATGTAAGGAGAGAGAAGTGAAGGAGATGAGGCGGCTTGGTGGGCTCTGCCCAGCTCATGTAGGGTCCCTTTTGGTGCCTCTGCCGCAGCATCTTGCATCTCTTCATGGGGCCTTTGCTGTTTCTGGTGCCTGGAATACCTGCCTCATTCTTACTCCAATCTAAGCATTGCTTCCTCGAGAAAGCTCTTCTTAGCTTCCTAAGTCAGATACCCTATTATAACCTACTGAGACGAGCTCAGCCGCAGAGACCCCCACCCAGGCAGCTCTGAATGCATTGAGAAGCAGACACCCAGATAGCACAGCAAACTGAGACTATCCGGGTGGACCAATAGCCTTCCGAGCTGAGAGCCTCAGGAGCTGACAGCATTCTGAGCTGGGGGCCTCACGCAGACACTGAACCATGTAGTTAGTCTCTCTGAACAGGTGATTCTTATTAACAAACAGGTGTTCCGTGTTTTCTCATAGCACCGAGATAAACTAGGTAGGCAGCTGGTGCCTGCTTACCACTGATCACAGACAAACTGAAAAGTATTCTCCACGAGGGAGCCCCGGGGGCAGAGTCACTTATCCCATTCTTAAAGAATTGTTTTAACTTGTGTATAACATGCATATACTCTTGCTGCTTTGGAATGCCCCAAGTAGTTTTCCACTTGCGGCAGTGGGGGGCAGGGGGCAACTAGGTTTTCCTTGCCGCTGTTCTTAGCAAACTATATATTTTATTATACACTCAGCATTTCTCAGCAGTAAACCCCAGAGCACGCACATGCTTAGCATCCAACCCCAGTGCTCTGCTTCCATAGCACTGAGCAGGGAGGTCGTTTCTCCTCTACGCATGAGATCATTTAAATGACGTCTATCTCCCTCCCTGCACTGGGAGCCCCAGTGAGACAGGAACAATGTGCTTTGTTCACCACTGAGAACAAATGGGGTCATTGACCCAGGCGGCAAATGACTCAGGAATCCCTGCTGCGTCTGGGTTGTAAAGAGAGGCCAGGGTGTTATTTCCGAGGTAATGAACTCATAGCTCAGCCCTTAGGTCTGTGCCAGCTGAAGGGCTCCAGGCTTTGCTCACATCAGCTCATCAAATCTGCACAATCTTCTCCAAGATTACCGTGACTCCCATTTTACAGGGGACAAAACAAAGGCTCAGGAAACTCAACTGACTTGCCCCAAATCTTACACCTAAGGCCAGGCACAGTGGCTCATGCCTGTAATCTCAGCACTTTGGGAGGCCAAGGCGGTTGGATCACTTGAGGTCAGGAGTTCAAGATCAGCCTGGCCAACATGGTGAAACCCCATCTCTACTAAAAATACCAAAATTAACCGTGTGTGGTGGTGCAAGCCTGCAATGCTGGCTTCTTGGGAAGCTGAGGCATGAGAATTGATTGAACCCAGGAGGTGGAGGTTGCAGTGAGTTGAGATTGTGTCACTGCGCTCCAGCCTGGGTGACAGAGCGAGATCCTGTCTCAAAAAAAAAAAAAAAAAAAAAAAAAAAAAAAAAAAAAAAAAAAAAAAAAAAAAAAAAAAAAAAAAAAAAAAAGGCAAAGCAGCCTGACAAAATATATACAGTTGTCTTCTGAGAATGATGGATACAAAGATGTTTGTTATGAATACTCTTGCTGGGCGTGGTGGCTCACGCCTGTAATCCCAGCACTTTGGGAGGCCAAGGTAGGTAGATTGCCTGAGCTCAGGAGTTCAAGACCAGCCTGGGCAACATGGTGAAACCCTGTCTCTACTAAAATACAAAAAATTAGCTGGATGTGGTGGTGTGCGCCTGTAGTTCCAGCTACTCAGGAGGCTGAGGCAGGAGAATTGCTTGAACCCTGGAGGTGGAGGTTGCAGTGAGCCAGGATCGCACCTGCACCTATGAATTAAAAAGTTCATAGGCAGGTGTTGAACAATGAGAACACATGGACACAGGGAGGGGAGCATCACACACTGGAGTCTGTCAGGGGGAAATAGGGGAGGGACAGTGGGGTGTGGGGAGTCGGGGAGAGATAGCAAGGGGAGAAATGCCAGATATAAGTGAAGGGGAGGAAGGCAGCAAATCACACTGCCATGTGTGTACCTATGCAACAATCTTGCATGTTCTTCACATGTACCCCAAAACCTAAAATGCAATTGAAAAAAAAAAAGAACTTCCAAAAAAAAAGGGCGGGGGATTAAAAAAAAAAGTTCAAAGGGGGCTTCTGAAGCTGGTCTCCCAGCGGTCTTCCCAGCCCCACACCCCAGTATAGTGTACACCCTTCAAAGCAAACACTGTTCCTCTCCCATGGGCTCGAGCGAGCCGGGGTTGAACTTCCCAAACATCTCCATTGATGGCCCCTCTGTGGGTTGCAGGTGGGGCCTCGGACCAGCCCTTACCAGACACACTGCCTCTGCAACCACCTCACCTTCTTCGGAAGCACATTCCTCGTGACGCCCAATGCCATCGACATCCACCAGACTGCTGAGCTCTTTGCCACCTTCGAGGACAACCCTGTGGTCGTGACCACCGTGGGCTGCCTGTGTGTGGTCTACGTGCTGGTGGTAATCTGGGCAAGGAGGAAGGATGCTCAGGATCAGGCCAAGGTGAGGCTGAGAGCCACTGCGCTGTGTACACTGTCCTGGGGAAAACACCATTGTTTTCAAATGATATTAGGCTTCATGGGAAGAGAGTATTTCTCTACTTAAAATTTTTTCCAGCCGGGTGTGGTGGCTCACACTTGTAATCCTAGCACTTTGGGAGGCCAAGGCAGGCAGATCACCTGATGTCCGGAGTTTGAGACCAGCTTGGCCAACATGGTGAAACCCCATCACTACTAAAAATACAAAAATTAGTTGGGCATGATGGCGGCACCTGTAATCCCAGCTGCTCAGGATGTTGAGGCTGGAGAATCGCTTGAACCCAAGAGGCGAAGGTTGCAGTGAGCCGAGATCGTGTCCCTGCACTCCAGCCTGGGTGACAGAATGAAACTCTCTGTTTCAAAAAAACAAAAAAAATTCCAGTATATGCAGTATGCCTGACACATAGTAGGCCTTCAGTCAATATTTATGGCTATCTGAAGAAGAGGTAATGAATGAATGCAAGGTTGTGTTGTCACAGAGCTCTGAAACTCTCTCCATTCCTACTCCTCCCTCCGAAGCAACATCACTCAGGATTTCATCTGGGATAAATTTGATAAGATAATAGTTTCAGCATTGATACTGCTGTCTTTGATTCACCCAAAGGATTAAGCAGTAATACTTGAAATGCATCTGCTGTAGGTTGGTTCTGGGGAAGCAGACTCTGAGGCAAAGTTGAGCATGCAGGGTGTGCGGGGGCTTTATTGAGGGAGCCTGGGACCTGCACCTGGAAAGGGAGGGAAGGAGGCAGCATGGGCAGAGAGAGAAGCTGAGCTGTGATGCAGCACAGTGACAGCCCGGCCCGGCCCCTGGGGAGCTCCAGAGCTGTCCTGGGTCAGGTTGAGATGCCCAGGTCTTACCCAGACACTCCACCAGTTGGTCATTGGATGCTGGCTGCCCCAAGAAGGCACAACCTCAACAGAGTTGGCTGTTGCACTTCTGAGCCCAGCAACTGAGGCAAGGAGCCCCCAGTGGGAGGGAGATGTGGGCAGTGCATCTTGGAGTTGACTGTAGCCTCTGGCCAACTCTGGCTAATGTCTTTTTATTTTCTTTTTGCCAAACTGTCTTTAAGAACGTTTATTTTTCAATTCTTATGGGTACATAGTAGGTATATATATGTATGAGTATATGGGATATTTGATACAGACATGCAGTATGTAATAATCACATCATGGTAAGTGGGGTTTCCATCTCCTCAAGCATTTATCCTTTGTGTTACAAACAATCCAAATATACTCTTTTAGTTATTTTTAAATGTACAATTATTATTGGCTGTAGGTACCCTGTGGTGCTTCAACTACTAGATCTTATTTATTTATTTTTTTTTGAGAGGGAGTCTTGCTGTGTCTTTCAGGCTAAAATACAGTGATATGATCTCGGCTCACTGCAACCTCCGCCGCCTGGGTTCAACCAATTCTCCTGCTTCAGCCTGTTGAGTAGCTGGGATTACAGGCGCCAGCCACCACGCCCAGCTAATTCTTGTGTCTTTAGTAGAGATAAGTTTTCACCATGTTGGTCAGGCTGGCCTCTAACTCCTAACCTCAAGTGATCCACCCACCTCAGCCTCCCAAAGTGCTGGGATGGCAGCCATGAGCCACCACGCCCGGCCTACATCTTATTCATTCTTTCTAATTTTTGTACCCATTAACCATCTCGTCTTCTCCCCCGCCCCATTTCAGCCCCACGACCCTTCCCAGCCTCTGGTGACCATCATTCTTCTATCTTCATGAGTTCATCTGTTGCTAAACTATCTTAATGTTTCATTTTTTTTTAATTCCTTCAGAAACACCACCTTCTTACCAATGTTATGAGAAATTACATATGTACAGTGTTTGTATCATTCACCTGGTCAAATACTCAATGTTCTCAGCTTATCAAGTTCATTTCCAATTTAACTACCTGGGGGTCATATCTCATCAAGAATGTACTTTAGGGCCAGGCATGGTAACTCATGCCTGTAATCCCAACACTTTGGGAGACCAAAGCGGGCAGATCACTTGAGGTTGGGAGTTTGAGACCAGCCTGGCCAACACGGTGAAACCCTGTCTCTACTAAAAGTACAAAAATTAGCCAGGCATGGTGGCACACGCCTGTAGTCCCAGCTACTCTGGAGGCCGAGGCAGGAGAATCACTTGAACCCAGGAGGCGGAGGTTGCAGTGAGCTAAGATCATGCCAATGTACTCCAGCCTGGGCAACAGAGTGAGACCCTGTCTCAAAACAAAACAAAACAAAACAAAACAATGTACTTTGTGCTTTTTTATTTTCCCAGTGTTTTGCACTTGAAACCTTGCTTTTATAAAAAACACTTCTCACCCAAAGGGATGAATCAATAGCATATGTCATTTTTGCTTTGCCTAATTCATGATTGTTATGAATCGTCAGCTGCTTCTTGGCTGGTGGGTGGTGCAGGAACCCACTGAGCAAGGCCTTCCTAATGCCATCCTTGTCTCCAGGTGAAGGTCACAGTGCTGGAAGACAATGATCCCCTTGCCCAGTACCACTACCTGGTGACAGTCTACACGGGACACCGGCGAGGGGCAGCCACATCCTCAAAGGTACCTGCCCGTGCAAGATGCACTGATTGATCAGCATGTCCCACCCAGCCCTGCTGTGCCATTGTGGAGCTGACCACTCCTGGTCTCTGGATTTCAGGTGACTATCACCCTGTATGGCCTGGATGGAGACAGTGAGCCCCACCACCTGTCTGACCCCGACACTTCGGTTTTTGAGCGAGGAGCAGTGGATGCCTTCCTCCTCTCCACCCTGTTCCCCTTGGGGGAACTGCAGAGCCTCCGGCTATGGCATGACAACTCAGGGGACCGGCCATCCTGGTGAGTTGGCGGCAGACAAACCATGAGAACCTGCAAAGTGCCAGGCCCAGGTCCGGGCACTGTACATTTGCCTCCTTCCTCTGCAAGTCACATAGAATGATCTCTGTTTCACAGATGAGGAAACCAAGGGTCAGAGAGGCCCACTGGTTCATGGTCCACACAAACTGTATCAGTAGCTAGGAGAAGGGCTGGAAGCTGCAGCTCTCAGGCTCAGTGCCAGCCCCACCCTTGGCCCTTTTGCAGCATCAACCTGAGACTTGCCCAAAGTCATACAGCTGGCAAGTTAAGAGCAAGTTTCTCCCCATTCTGAGTGGTGTCCAGTCTGACTACCCAGCAGTACCTGTCAGCTTTAGAAAAGCATAACACTTATGCTGTTGCCTTGAATGCACCCATGGGATTAAGCATTAATATTTTCAGTGCATCTGCTGCAGGTTGCTCCTGGGAAGCAGGCTCTGAGATGCAGTTGCGCTTGGAGGGTATTTATTACAGGGCCCTGGGACCAGCACCTGGGAAGGGAGGGTAGGAGGCAGAGTGGCAGAAACGTCGAGCAGCCCAGCAACAGCGTGGCCCACCGCTGGGGAGCTCTGGAGCTGTCCCAAGTTGGGTTGAGATACCCAGGTCTTGATCACTGTAGACACTGCATCATTGGATGTCAGCTGCCCCAGAAGAGCTTGTGACCTTGACAGAGGGGGCTTTTGTGTTGCTACAGGACTGTCCTTCCTGAAATGAGAAAACGCATGTCAAGAGCATCTTAGTACAGACCCCACTACATAGTAAGTGCTCAGTGAATGGTGGCTATGCTGTCATTACTGTTCATTTTTTCTTTTTGAGACAGAGTCTCACTGTGTCGCCCAGCCTTGAGTGCAGTGGCACAATTTCAGCTCACTGTAACCTCCACTTCCCAGGTTCAAGTGATTCTCCTGCCTCAGCCTTGCGAGTAGCTAGAATTACAGGCATGCGCCACCATGTCCAGCTAATTTTTTTTTTTTTTTTGTATTTTTAGTAGAGATGAGGTTTTACCATATTGGCCAGGCTGGTCTCAAACTCCTGACCTCAAGTGATCCGCCCATCTTGGCCTCCCAAAGTGCTGGGATTACAGATGTGAACCACTACGCCCGGCCATCATTACTGTTCTTGTTGGCTAGTTAGCAACAGGGAAAACTGCTACTGGGTCTGACATCCCAGGATAGGCAAGATAATTTCAATTCTTCCCCGTACCTCAAAGACCTAAATCAGGTTAGATGATACCGATGAAGTCCTCAGCCCAAGGGAGACAGTGGTTCTTTGGTTAGAAACCCAAGAGAGGTCCTGTTCTGTGTTCTACAGCCTGCACCTGCCTGAACACGCACACTGTGGGCAATCCGGCTGTGCTTGCTCATGCCTGGATACTGGCCCTGGGCTTGGTGCCATGTGTACAGGTTAATGGCCTCACAATGCACCGTTTTTCAGCATCTTTGTGAAAACATGGCAGCTTCCCAGAGCTGGCTCCCTGCAGTAGCTGAACTCCCTATGTGAGGTCAATTTTGATTAAGGCACCAAGAATAAAGAAAAATATGTTTTCTTTTTTTTTTTGAGGAGCTCTTGTTCTTTGAGTTCGTGTTTGCAAAGGTGTCACCTTGGTGGTGTCCAAGGAAGTCTCCTCCCCTGCCCCACCTTGTCCTCAAAACCGTGGGTCCCTTCTCCAGGTATGTGAGCCGGGTGCTGGTCTATGACCTGGCGACGGACCGGAAGTGGTATTTTCTCTGCAACTCCTGGCTGTCCATCAATGTTGGAGATTGTGTCCTTGATAAGGTATTTCCTGTGGCCACGGAGCAGGACAGAAAACAATTCAGGTACTATCATTTTTATTTATTTTTATTGTTAAGCTAAGGTCTTGTTCTGCAGTGGCACAATCACAGCTCACTGCAACCTCGACCCCCCGGGTCAAGCAATCCTCTCACTTCAGCCTCTCAAGCAGCTGGGACTACAGGCATGCACCACGATGCCTTGCTATTTTGTTTTGTTTTGTTTAAGTAGAGACATGGCCTCACTATGTTGCCTAAGCTGGTCTCAACCTCCTGGGCTCAAGAGAGCCTCCCACCTCAGCTTCCTGAGTAGCCGGAACTACAGACACATGCCACCATGCCCAACCGTATTTGTAGAGATGGGGTTTCACCATATTGCCCAGGCTGGTCTCAAACTCCTGGGCTCAAGGGATCCTCCCGCATCAGCCTTCCAAAGTTTTGGGGTTACAGGCATGAGCCACTGTGCTTGGCTCTACCTGAGATTTTTTATTTTTTTGACAGACTCTCATCTGTCACCCAGGGTGGAGTACAGTGGCATAATATTGGCTCACTGCGACCTCCACCTCCTGGATTCAAGCGATTCTCCTGCTTCAGCCACTCTATCTGAGATTACGGGTGTGTGCCACCACGCCTAGCTAATTTTTGTATTTTTATAAGAGACAGGGTTTCCCCACATTGACCAAACTCCTGACCACAAGCAGCCCTCTCTCCTTGGCCTCCTAAAGTCCTGGGATTACAGGCATGAGCCACTGCGCTCTGCCATGCCTGGGATTTTTAACCACTACACTCCAGTAATCTAATTGCAACAAAACTAACAGTGTTTCCGTTATATTATTATATTAAAATTATACCAAAAATAATGCTGACACTGACTGAACATTGACCTACATGCCAGCTACTGCCCCGAATGCTTTACAGAATTATCACTTTTAATGCATTCAACAATCCGGTGAGGTAGGTTCTGTTATTATTACGTGCCCCAATTTACAGACAAGTCATCTAAGGTACAAAGAACAAAGTAACTTCCCCGGGGTCACTTAGCTCGGAAAGGGCTGTGCAGTATGCTAGGATTCTAATCTAGCCCTTTCCAGAGTCTCCATCATTAACTGTAAGTGATGCTGCTATGATGCTGTATTTCTTCTATTAAAAAAAAAAAAAAAAAAATGGCCGGCTCGATGACTCATGCCTGTAATCCCAGCACTTTGGGAGGCCAAGACGGGCAGATCACTTGAAATCAGGAGTTTAAGACCAGCCTGAACAATATGGAGAAACCTTGTCTCTACTAAAAATACTAAAAATTAGCCAGGTGTGGTGTGTGCACCTGTAATCCAAGCTCCCTGGGAGGCTGAGGCAGGAGAATCACTTGAACCTGGGAGGCGGAGGTTGCAGTGAGCCAAGATTGCACCATTGCACTCCAGCCTGGGTGACAGAACAAGATGCCATCTCAAAAAAAAAAAAAAAAAAAAAATGTGTTGTGTAAACAACCTTAGTAACAAATCTCTGTCTCTCTTCCTCCTCCTCATCCCAAGAATGATCCAAACAGACCAATTTCCGCTACACCTCGCTTCCTAAATGCCTGTCCCTCTCTCCCTGCCTGCTTGCAGCCACCTGTTTTTCATGAAGACGTCTGCAGGCTTCCAGGATGGACACATCTGGTATTCCATCTTCAGCCGCTGCACTCGGAGCAGCTTCACCCGTGTCCAGAGGGTGTCCTGCTGCTTCTCCCTGCTACTGTGCACCATGCTGACCAGCATCATGTTCTGGGGGGTCCCCAAGGACCCAGCTGAGCAAAAGATGGACTTGGGTAATTCCCAGTGTCATGGAGGTCAGGGCTAGTGGCTGGTGGACCTGAGCCTTCACTGTTCCAGCAATGCCACTGCGATTCCAGAATCCCCAAGACCACCCTCTCCCAGTTCAGTGACCCACTAGCAGGACTCAGAGAACCCATTGTACTCATTGTTATGGTTTACTGCAGTGAAAGGATACAGCTGGGTGCAGTGGCTCACACCTGTAATCCCAGCACTCTGGGAGGCCAAGGCAGGTGGATCACCTGAGGTCAGGAGTTCGAGACCAACCTGGCCAACATGGTGAAACCCCATCTCTACTAGAAATACAAAATTATCCGGGTGTGATGGTGCATGCCGGTAGTTCCAGCTACTCAGGAGGCTGAGGCAGGAGAATCACTTGAAACCAGGATGCAGAGGTTGCAGTGAGCTGAGATCTCGCCAGCTTGGACAAAAAAATGCAAAAAA